TAACCTGTGCTGTCAAAACAAAGGTAGCGACTGCTCTGACTGAAAGAGCAGACTGGGAAAATAAGAGACTGGGTCTTGTTTGCACCACTGTAAAACTGCTGAAGCCTCTGTAGATCTGTCACTCTCAACTTGTTCAACAGGCCTTAGTATATTAAAGATCACAACAGAGGTTTTAATAAATTGTTACATGATTAAAATCACAGAGATTTTTTTCCCCAGATCACCTTTAAATCATGCTGAGGAAAAAAAAATGGCCAGAAAACATCATAAAAAAAAGATTAAGGAGAAAGAATGGTGGCTTTCAACAAACAAAAATAAAAAAGTAATCAGAAACCCCGCAGCTGTATTCATTGCTCTTCTGAAGAGGACTTCATATTAACAGTAAAAGATTGTTACCTTGCACAGACCAAGACAATTGAACACTGTTACTGCTCAAAAATCTCTTACAAATTAATATGATCTTGTATCAGAGAGAGCATTAAAAAAAAATCTACTCCAGGAGTAGGTTCCTCCAACACTAATGTTATATTTATCCATAAGTTCCCATTTTCAGATGCTCCAAAACTTATAGGGGAAGCTCACTGGGGGAATTCATCCAACCAAATGCAGGTGTCTAGTTTAGCAAAAGGGAAACCACTCTCTAGACTTCACTAAGTAAAATGTGAGCCTGGGCTCACTTAGTTCAGATCAGCACTTAACAAATAAAGAGAAAAAAATCAACAAACCCCACAATAACTGTGAATTTGTAATTATCTCTGGACAAATCTTCCCTCATCGTTTAGCCATCCATTCATAACACTCAGCATAACACCTAAGTTTTAAAGCCAAACAATTGCTCTTTCTCTGTATTTTTCTTCTCTTCTACTACTTATATATTTCATCCCTCTCATATAGAAACGTGAAGTGTTTCTGTCTGTACCACATATGAATACACTGTGAGATTAGGATTTATGATTTGATTAGTCCTGTGACAGCCTCATCATTGTGGGTTCATTCTCTAAATTCTTTCTGTTCCTGGCTCACGGCTGAGACTCAACACCACAGTCCTGTAACACTACCCTCTTCAAGTTGTCAAAAATTTATAGCCTTTACACCATGTATCTGTTTGCAGTCTTGTCATTTCACAGTCAGATGCATAGCTACTTCTGCAGAGACTATGGAAAATTAAAAACAGTGGGACATATTAGTATTAAAGGGCAGAAGTTCACTTTGAAGCAAAACCAAATTAAAATGCTAATCTTTGTTTTTCAGATTCATCCAGTATAAGGTCACATATCTTCTTCCTTCCTAAATCTTCATTTCTTCCTAAAAAAGTTTTAGCTGTAGTTAATCACTGCAACTTCCCTTTGCTAACCAAAAATGTAGCCACAAGCAAAAACCCATTTTGACAAGTTAAATTGAACAGTCAATGAAAAATTCTCTTTCTGAATTAAATCTTCATTTCTTAAAACAAAAACTAGCAGATCCCTTTCCAACACATAGAAGCAGAAAATTAAACTTTTCTCCAGAAAGTCAGTATGTTTCAAGCCTTCTTAAGACTCTGACCTTGTAGGGACACGAACCCTGCAGGTGTTCAGAAAGGGGACTGGGTGGCTGTGGTGCTAAGACACGAGGTTTCCAAATACTGCTAGGAGTTTAAAAGCTAAACATGCACAATGGCATTTCGTAGTGGAGTTAGGAATTATGGAAGATACCTAATCTTTAAAATTCAATTAATCCCCAGGCCAACCGTTTTGAAGATTAAGGTAAACGAACAGACAAACTCTGGACTTACTGTATGGTAAGGTCACGTCCTTTTGCTGTGCCTCGACTTGGATACTGTGCCAGAACGGATGATAATGCCTTTAATCTCTTCCTGCATTCTAGAAAGTCCCGGTTGAAATGAAAATCCGTGGAGGCTGAGAGGGGAAGCCCATCCCTCACCCGCACCACGCAGGCAAAGAAGATCATGGACATTCTCCACTGGAGCACTCATGAGGACAACCTGCAAACAAGTATTAAATGGGCTCAATGATAAC